TGAATGGTTGGTGGATGCTCAATGGGTAGATGAATGACTTATGGGTGGATGGATAAGTGGATAGACAGCTCAGGTATAGGGATGAGTTGATACATGTATGTATGTATGTATGGATGGATGGATGGATGGATGGATATATGGATGGATGGATGCGTAGATGAACAAATGAATGGAATGGGTATACAAATGAGTAGGTGAATAAAAGTTCGGGTGGATGAATGAGTGGACAGATGAATGAATGGCTGGTAGATGTTTGAGAGGTGGACGAATGAATGGATGAGTGATTGGAAAAGTAAGAGGGTGGGTGGAAGGGAGGGTTGATGACTAAGGGGATAGAAGATGAAATACAGAGGTGGATGCAGGATGGATGGATTTGTGAAGAAAGTGTTGGAGGGTAGGCGTCAACTGAGTCACACACACCACATGGAGACCCTCCAGTCTGTGTCTGATCACCACAGAGATCAGACATGAGAGATCTGATTTCCCACAAGAGATCTCTTGAGATTTCTATGGGGCAGGTAAATTCCAAGCTGAGAATGCAAAAGTGACAAACCACTGAGATCTATAGAGTGCGACATCTGTGGAAAAAGAGCAAACCCCCCAATGTACCTGGGAACCCTCTGATTCGTCATCTTCCTCCACCGAGCTCCACTCCTGGGAAAGCCCAGTCTCTTGAGAAGGTAAGTCTGGGTGAGGGTGGGAGTGGAGGAAAAAGGAGCCATGAGTGAGTGGCCAGGCGGTGGGTGTGGGCTCTTCCCCCTGGCATCTTGTCCCTTTTCTACTAATAGCTGCCTTTTCTCTCTCTCTTCACCCCCCGTCTCTCTCTCTCTCTCTCTCTCTCTCTCACACACACACACACACACACACACACACACACACCACATGCCTATGTGGTTTAGGTGGGGCTGAGAGAATGAGAGGCCTGAATTCTATGTATAACTACCTGGAGAACTTCAACTACGCCTCCTTATGTGCCCTGCCACCTGAGTCTTCACTCCCTTACCTGTCCAGTAGGTAAAAGAGTTCCTTCTCTACAGGCCCCCAGCAAGAACTGGGTGAAGGAGCCGAAGAAAAAGCCGCAGAAGTAAACCAGGGTGATGGAGGCTTCCCCAGCTTCTGACGAACAGACACTAGCTGAGGCATGTCCCCACAGTCAGAACCTTAGCATCGCTCTCATCCCTAAGCTGAATAGACTGGGCAAGTCCTGGTATTTTCCACTCTTCCTGCACCTTAGCCCCAGCCAGGAGCTCCAAGCCTCACTAGCAGAGCTGGCCTCTGTTATCCATGCCTTCTGTCCAAGGCTTGCTCAGCCCCGGAAGAAAAAGACAGTGCCTAGTAAGTGGTACACTGTTCAGCCCCTTTTCCGCTTTGGGGTGCCATTGAGATGTCAGCAAATGACACTGCCCTTTATCCATCTCTTTGGGCCAAAACCCTAAAAGTGATCTCGATGCCTCGCTTTTCCTCCTCTTCCCCACATCCATCAGCAAGAACTGATGCCCTCTCCCAAAGGTGTCCCAAATCTCTCCACTTACCTCACCTCTGTCTTGGACTGTTGCAAGAGTCTCCTAACTGGCCTCCCATCTTCCTTCTTGACTTCCTAGCCCTACAATCCATCCTCACATGCAGTGGGACTAAGGGTTTCTCAAATTTGGCACTATCAGCATTTGGAGCCTCACCGTTATTTGTGGGTGTGTGTGTGGGGGGGTCCGTCCTGTGCATAGTAGGATGTTTATCGGCAGCACTGCTGGGTTCTCCCCACCAGACAACAGCAGCATCTCCACAGTTAGAATAACCCTAAATATTTCCAGACATTGCCAAAAATCACCTGGGGAGGAGAGGTGGGATATAAGACCATCCCCAGTTGAAATCCACTGAGTTAGAGAAATATTTTTGAAATTCAAATGAGAGCATGTGATTTTCCTCTGCAAATCTTCCAGTGCTTGAAAATTGGGGTGTTCCTTCTCTTAGCCATTCCTGAGAACCCTGCAAGCAGGCCCATGAGGATAAGCCTGACAAATCCTGCTGGAGACATATGCCCTGTCCTCAGCACTACCAAGCCAGCCAAGAGCCAGTACCAGCAGACATAGGAGTAAAGCCATCTGAGATTGACCAGTGGGGCCACCAGCTCTCTGAGGCTTCACAGACAAGCATAGGCAGCAGAAGTGTCCCCTGAAGCCAGGCCAAACTGCTGACCCACAGAATCATGAGCTGATAAGTGACTGTTGCTTTAAGCCACTAAGTTTGGGGATGATTTGTTACACAGCAACAGCTGACCGACACAGTGCTCCTTGAATAGCTGTTGAATGGATGAGTGAAGGAGTGTATGTTTAGTCTTTCCCTAAGCTCTGCCAATTCCTTTCCTTCCACCTATTCACCTCCCAAAGGACCCCTGCATCTCACCTTTCTCATCACTGTCACAGCTGGAGGCCCCAACCTCCACAACCTCCCAGTCTTTGGTGCAGGTGGGATGGGGAGGCTTCTCCCAGGCCCGGCTCTCCTGAGGCAGCAGCATCTTGGTCCTCTCGGGCTCCAGCAGCCCCCGCGTCTGCTCAGGCTTGAGACTCTGCATCGCCCCAGGAGGAGGTGGAGCTTCTGAGATAAGCTTCTCTTTCTCCTCCAGCTCCAGGGTCCTCTCTGGTTCCCCAGGCACAGGATTCAGAACCTGAGGACTGGAGGACATTTCATCATTCAGTTAATCATTACAGAGGGCCAGCAGGGGCAAGAATGATTCTAAGCATTAGAAATGCAGCAATAATCAAATGAAGATTCCCATCCTCCTGGGGCTTACATTCTAATAGGCAGAGAAAGAGACTGGCAGGGAACGAATAAAGCATACAGCATGTTAAACAGTAGAGAGTGCTCTGGAGACAAAGCTGGAAAGGAAATTACTGTCATAGGCAGCCACACGCAGACACACACTCACACTCATATATACACACATACAAACATAAACACACACACACACATACCCACACACATACAGTCACATACACACACTCACATACTCACATATACACACATACAAACATAAACACACACATACCTACACACAGTCATATACATACACTCACATATTCACATATACACACATACAAACATAAACACACACACATATCCACAGACACACAGTCACATGCACACACTCACATACTCACATATACACACATATAAACATAAACACACACACATACACAAACATACATACCCACACACACACACAGTCACATACACACACTCACTCACATATACACACATACAAACATAAACACACACACATATATCCACAGACACACAGTCACATACACACACTCACATACTCACATATACACACATACAAACATAAACACACACACATATATCCACAGACACAGTCACATACACACACTCACATACTCACATATACACACATACAAACATAAACACACACACACATATCCACAGACACACAGTCACATACACACACTCACATACTCACATATACACACATACAAACATAAACATACACACATATCCACACACAGTCACAGACACACACTCACATACTCACCTATACACACATATAAACATAAACACACACACATACACAAACATACATACCCACACACACACAGTCACATACACACACTCACATATACACACATACAAACATAAACACACACACATATCCACAGACACACAGTCACATACACACACTCACATACTCACATATACACATATATAAACATAAACACACACACATACACAAACATACATACCCACACACACACACAGTCACATACACACACTCACATACTCACATATATACACACATACAAACATAAACACACACACACATATCCACACACAGTCACATACACACACTCACTCACATATACACACATACAAACATAAACACACACACATATCCACAGACACACAGTCACATACACACACTCACATACTCACATATACACACATACAAACATAAACAAAAACTTTTTAAAGAAAACCAAATAAATGTGATTATCGACTGGATATTTGATTACACCAAGGAATTATCACCGACTTTTGTTGGGCATGGGGATGGCTTTATGGAGAGACAGGGAAATGTCCACCCTAGTTTTTAGAGATGCTTTGGTTGTATAGAGGGGTGAATTGACCTGACGGCTGAGATTTGCTTTAAAATATTCCCCCATGCAGCCATAAAAAAGGATGAGTTCATGTCCTTTGCAGGGACATGGATGAAGCTGGAAGCCATCATTCTCAGCAAACTAACACAGGAACAGAAAACCAAACACTGTACGTTCTCACTTGTAAGTGGGAATTGAATAATGAGAACACATGGACACAAGGAAGGGAACATCACACACCAGGGCCTATCGGGGGGTGGAGGGAAGGGCAGGGAGAGCATTAGGACAAATACCTAATGCGTGTGGGGCTTAAACCTAGATGACAGGTTGATAGACACAGCAAACCATCATGGCACATGTATACCTATGTAACAAAACTGCACATTCTGCATATGCATCCCAGAAATCACAGTTTAAAAAAAACTCCCACAAAGTAAAAGCACACAAGAAAATGATAACTGCTGAATCTGGGAAATAGGTAGACGGTGGTTCATAGCATTATCCTCATATTGAAGAGTATGTTTGAAATATTTTCATAATAGAATATATATGTGTGTGTGTGTGTGTGTGTGTGTGTGTGTGTGTGTGTATGTATAATATGTTATTTTTTTCTGTATCACCAGTTAGCATTTATGATGTCTGCTTCCTAGAGTGGGTGTCTCACAGGTCCCTAGGACCCAAATTCAAGCTCATCATTTCCCCAGTCCCCTCTGCCCACTGTCCCACCCAACAGCACTCCCTGCTCCTGGGTCCCCCACTCTTGGCCAGGACTCCACCGTCCTCCCCAACAGTCTCTACAGGACTCATCTTCGACTTGCCCCCACCTCATCCCTCACCTGCCACATCCCAGCCACGGCCAAGGTCTCTTTCTCTTGCCTCAGAAAATATTCTGCCCTCCTGCCTGCTGCCCAGCCCCTGTCCCGTCTGTGCTTTTGTTCCTCTGGATAGAGTGACTTCCACTGTGTTCACCCTGCCTCCTGTGGGTCCACTCAGCCCTTCACTTGCTGATCCAGCTCCCCACTGCCCCCCACCAGCTTCACCCTCCTCACATCCCCTCTAGTTAAGAGATTCTCAGTGCCCAGGAGTGAGCACGCCCATCCTGCATGCTCTCACCTCCCAGTCAGCCCAGGTGGAGATCCCAGGCACAGCCAGGGCTCCATGACACTCAATTCCAGGAATAAGAGAAAGCGTCTCCTGCTTCAGCCTCTGCGATCCTCCCCATTACCTCAAGGAGCAAGTTTCCATTGAGTGCCCCTATGCTTTTAGCATCGCTATGGCTGAGCCTCCTTCCTAACAAAGGGAGAGCAGCTTCAAGTCAGGCGGGCAAAGCAGCCAGCCCAGAGCTAACCTTCAGTAATACATGAACATTAAAAGCGATACTGGCTTTCCCTTTGAAACCGTGATACAAAGTTTGCCTTTGAAATCCGGTGAGGTCAAGTTTTAAAGCAGGTTGACTAATGCATGCTGGTGGGCGTGTCTGTTGGTTCAACCACTTTGGAAAGCTATTTGGCAACGTCTAGGAAAGCTGAACAGTGGTGCACCCTGGGACCCAGCAATTCCACCCCCAGACACTTAGGAGCAACGAGAACCCATGTCCACACACACACGTGTACGTGAATGTTGATGCCTGCTGTATTCAAAACAATTCATAAGAACGGAGTGGTTTATATATATAGCCAGAAGCACTCATAGGCATAATACAAATTTTAAAACACCAGGTGTTTCTCAAAAGGATAATACAGACATAAATTGCAGTTGATGCATACAGGGGAGTACAGCTCAGTAATGAGAAGGGTCAACAAAACAATACAGGCAGCAACATGGGTGAATATAATATATATATATATATATATATATATATATATTTAAATATGCACATATATTTTAGTATATAATTATTTTTTATAAATATGTACTTATAAATATATAAAATAAATGCACTTACAATATAAATATAAATTTTCAAATGTTTACATTTTAATAATTTAAATATAAATATGCTATAAATATAATTTATATTATAAATATATTACAAATATAAATATAATATAAACATAAAATTATAGAAACAATTTTATAATATATAGTTATACATATAATATATTCATACCATAAATATAATATAATATATATATAAGTATAAAAGTATAAATATGTTTATATTATCAACATATAAGTACATAATGTGTGTATGTACATATATGACTGAGTGAAAAAAGACAGATACAAAGAGGACGTATATGTGATTTTACTGAGATTAAAAAATATCTGGAATAGGTAAAAATGAATTGATCTCAGTAGAAGTCAGAACAGTGGTTATGCTGGGTTGGCAAATGTGAGAAAGGCTATGAGGAGCTTTCTGGGGTTGCTGGAAATGTCCTCTACCTTTCTTAGTGGAGGTCACATGGGGGATTACTTTTGCACAAATTTATTGAGCTTTACCTTCACCCAAATGCACACTTTGTGCACATCACTCTATCTTTTTTTAGATCTCACTGCACTTAAAAAAGAAAACTAGGCCAGGTGCGGTGGTTCACTCCTGTAATCCCAGCACTTTGGGAGGCTGAGGTGGGTGGATCACTTGAGGTCAGGAGTTTGAACTAGCCTGGCCAGCATGGTGAAACCCTGTCTCTACTAAAAATTCAAATATTAGCGGGGCATGGTGGCACATGCCTGTAATCCCAGCTATTCGGCAGGCTGAGGCAGGAGAATTGCTTGAAGCTGGGAGGAAGAGGTTACAGTGAGCCAAGATTGTGCCACTGCACTCTAGCCTGGGCAACAAGAGTGAAACTGTCTCAATAATAATAATAATTAATAATAATAATAAAATTATTAGAAGAAAGAAGAGGTAATTTAAAAAATAGTAGGTAAATGTTTGCTAGTACAAGTTTTGCTAAACAGAGAAAATACTCAGCATGGTGGGGAAGGAATGACAATAAAATGCTAACTGCAGCCTACATGGCTGAGTAGTTAAAAGCCAGGCGTGGAGATGACAGCACATGTGTGAATTTCAGTTCTGCCACATATTTCCAGTGTTACCTGGGACAGGTCACTTTAACCTCTCCAAGCTTCAGTTTGCTCATCTGTAAAATGGGGAGGTGATAACAGTGACAGCTACCTCATAGAGCTGCTGTCTCCACTGAGACACACGATTTAATACACAGTTTAAGTATCTGGTGAATGGAGGAAGAAAAGGGTGTTCCTCCATCCCAGCCTCAGCTTGCTCTTCCTGCATAGGCTTCTAGAAAGCCTCCCTCCCATCAGGCCTGAGCTTCCACATCACCTTTCGAGGGACCCTGTGGGTATTTGCCACCCATGAGTGCTTGAATGAATACAACTTTTCCCAACCATTTCTCAGCCAGAACTTTGGGGCAAACCTGTGCTGAGTATTGGGAATTTGAAGATGGATTTGACACCCTCAACAGCTCACATTCTCCTAGAGGAGAAAGGTAAGTGAGCAGACAGGACAAAGAGAACACAGATCCAGCATTCCAGCAGACAGAAACCCCAGCATCGAGGATTGGAACTCACAGGCCTGCAGAGGCTCAGCAGGTAACACAAATGGGATAGGAAACGACATGAATTAACAAATAAATCAGCCAGGCAAGGTGGCTCACACCTGTAATCCCAGCACTTTGGGAGACCAAGGTGGGACGGTTGCTTGACCCCAGGAGTTTGAGGCCAGCCTGAGTGAGACCCAGTCTCTACAAAAAAAAATTAAAAAAATAGCCAGCTGTGGTGTCACGAGCCTGTAGTCCCAGTTACTGGGAGAATCCTTTGAGTCTGGGAGATCGAGGCTTCAGTGAGCTGTGATCATGCCACTACACTCCAGCCTGGGTGTCAGAGCAAGACTCTGCCTTGAAAATCAGTCAATGAATCAATCAAGAGAACTCTTTCACTGTCACTTTTCTACAAATGAAAATTAAATATAGGTGCCGATAAATACTCTCTATTGTAAGGAGCACATGAACCAATGGCAGTGGATGTATGGCATGGGGAGAGACGATGGGGGTGGTGGGGAGTGCAGCAAAAGAGAGATCAGGTCTCCTGTCTGAAGAAGCTGCACCACACAACTCAGCTAATGTTTGCAGAGCGAACCCCTGGGACTGATGTCACCCCTCTTCTAATTCCCCAAAAGAAGACTGGAAATCTATATTTTCAGAAGGCATTTTCTGCATTTCATGATGTCAGTAATTGTTTCACATGTTTATGGGCTAGCATCACTGACTCCATCTTAGCTGTAAACTCCAGCCTAGCTTCCCCCTCCCTACCACAGCCCCTTGGGGTGCATAACTGGACCACACTGGCGCTGCGTGTACGTCACGATGACTCTGTGCTTATCCTACCATGTAACCAATGTAACTGCATCCTGCTTGAAAAACACACCTGCTATTGTGTATAACTCTCTTTAAACCCCCCTAATTGTTTGGAAATACCCTTAGCAACCAACAATCCTGGGAACCTCCTCCCCCCTGGTTACTAGCTAACTTGCCTGTTCTGCCTCTGTAAAATTTCGCTTCAGCTAGGTACCCCCTCCCCTACCTAAATCAAGGTACAAAGGTAAATCAAGACCCTTCCTTGGGGCCGAGAGAACTTTGAGCGTTAGCCGTCTCTCAATGAAAAGGACTCTTAATTTAGAACTCAGTGCTTGACCTATTCCTTCTAACTCTCTCCGTTATTACAGCAGGAAGGCACCTTTAGTCAAATGGCACAGGTTGTGGGGCCGAGTTAGACCCTGGGGCTGCCAATTTTCAGCCTCAGTGTGGGCTGGGCAGTCTGTTGGGGTTGAGGAGAGCAGGCTGCCTAGACATTTTTCAGGGGAAGAAAATTCCTATGGGACCCTCATGGAAAAGAGTGTTAGAGAGTATGATTAGGGAGTTCTGCTTTGTTTATCGCTTTGGGGTTTTGTTTTGTTTTTAATATAAGACATAATTAATCATGGATCTAGGTTGAGGGGAGGGGAAGGCATGGGAAAGGAGAAAATACAGGTAAGTGGGGTGACAGATGAGAAAGATGAGAGCCATCAGGTCAAGGTCAGGAGAAACTGGATCCGCAGTGAGTCAAGGAGGAAGGAAAGAGGGTAAGGCAGAGGTGTGTTGAGGGGAGGGGATTCACACCCCACAGCCTCAGTGTTCTTGGTGAAATAGCAAACAAGTCATCCCCTAGGAAAACGGAGACGCGGTCACAACGACAACCAGCAACAACCATCAAAGCAGTAACAGTATCGGCAGTTTCCTGGAGCGCTCCTGTGCCCAGCCCTGCTGAGCACCAGAAACCCTTTTTCTCACAATAAAGCTCGCCATACTTCTCGCTACAGATACTATTATGTTTCCATTTCACAGACAGGGTCATCCCTTGATGAAAGGCACACAGCTCAGAAGAGTGGGGGCGAGGCTGCTGCACCTGCGACCCCAGAGCCTGCGCTCCTATCGTTGCAGTGTGGCACACGGGGGCCCAGACTGACACAAAGCGCGAGCGCGCACAGGTGCACCCGCGGGCAGGTGCGCTGAACACACAGGGGCAGCGAGCATCCACACTGGCCCCCCGCGACACGAGCGCACGTGCCCGCGCCGCCCCACGAGGGTACACAGACCATCAATGGGCACTCAGGGCAGGTGCGTCCTCCCCTCCCGGTTCGGAGGCTGAAATTCACCCTGCAACCCCCAGCGGGGACCCAAACCGCCGCTGCGGAGAAGTAGACTGGTACCGACAGACCCCACCCTCTCCCACCAGACAGACAGACGGGCTCGAAGAAGCTCCCTCCGCGGACCCCATCCCTGGAGTGCCTGTGCCCCTCAGCCCCACCCAGGCAGAAACACGCTCTGCGCATTCACACTCGCGCGCGCATCCCCGATCGCCGCCCGCGCCCCCAGCCCCTTTTCTCCGCCTCCTTCCCGCTCGCAGGGGTCCCTCGAAGGACTCACCCTCCCCAACCAGACCCTGTCTGGGCTCTGCAGACCTGGCGCCGCACTGACTGCGGCTGCGCAGACGCGGAGGCTGCGGGGGGTGGTGCGTGGAGGTTGGAGGTGGGAGGTGGGGGAATTGGGGAGCGTGGGCAGCCTCCTCCCCTTCTCCACTCCCGGGAAGCCTGCACCTGGAGGGGCGTGGGGAAGGGAGCGGAGGGCCACACGCCCCTCCAGCGGCGTGCGCGGTTGCAAGGGGGTGTGGTACCGTGTGGGTCCATCCCCAGCTGATGAGCACGTAGGTTCTGTTCCCACACACGCCCCAAGGCCAACGGCTTTGTACACGCCCCCCCCACCCCCAGGGTTCTCCAGTCTGCAAACCGGGGTCCTGGGTGGGCGGAAAGGGGAAGAAGCTGGGACAGGGTGTAACAGTCCGGGGACCCTGAGGCCCGACCGCCTGGGGCCAGCGGCTGGCTTTGCCACTTGTTACTAGTGAGCACTCGGGTGTGTCACTTAAAACTTCCGTGCCTCAGTTGCCCGTTATGTTAAGTGGGAATAATTATCGTTACCAAGTCCCAGGATTGCTGGGAAAGTAAAACAATAATAACAATAATAAGTAATACACTCACAATTCTTTAAAAAGTACCTAATGGCTGCTATTATTAGCAATGATCATTGTTCAAATTTACAATGCAGTGACTACAGACAAGTTGCTCTCATGGAGGCTACATTAAATTTAAAAATTTTTCGACAAAGCCATAGTTAGGGGGAAAACGGTGTCCCTGTGTAATCTTAGCTACACTCCCCTGATTACTCGTGAGGAAAGCAAACTCACATGTTTGTTGAACAGACTTATTCTCTCATCTGTGAATTACCTGTTTATCACCACATTACTTTATTTGTTTATGTAGCTTTTACTTACTGATTAATGGACATTCTTTTTATATTCTGGACATTAATCCTTTGCCTGTTACTCTATCTGTGGTGAGTGTTTTCTCCTGGCCTGTCCCTTCTGTTTTTATTGTGTTTACACAGTGCCTGAAGTTTTGAATTTTCATAAAAATTCAATATATCATTTTATTTTATTTTATAATTTTTGCTTTTGGGATCTTATTTAAGATGCCCTTCCTTGGTGCACTCTCTCTCTCTCTCTCTCTCTCTCTCGCTCGCTCTTTAAGACAGGGTCTCACTCTGTTACCCAGGCTGGAGTGCAATGGTGTGATCATAGCTCACAGCAGCCTTGAGCTCCTGGGCTCAAGTGATGTTTCTGCCTCAGCCTCCTGAGTAGCTGGAACTGCAGGCATGTGCCACCACACCTGGCTAATTTTTAAATTTTTTGTAGAAATGGGGTCTCACTATGTTGCCCAGGCTGGTCTCACACTCCTGGCCTCAACTAATCTTCCTGGTTCAGCCTTTCAAAGTGCTAGGATTACATGCATGAGTCACTTCACCTGGCCTCACCCTACTCTCATAAACACTTTTCCCTGTATAATCTCATATTTTATTTTACAGTCTTATTTTATATGTTTATTTTGTTTGAACCTTCTGGAATTTTTTGAATGGTATGAGGTAAAGATTTAATCTCCTTTTCCAAATGGATAGATAATTGAATTAACCTGATTAATCAGAAAAACAAAAATAACTGTAATTTATTCAAAAAAATACTACAAGGAAAGGCATCTCATTAATATTATCTCATTTAATTCCAGCAGCCAAAAGTGGTAGTATTATTATCTCAATTTTACAGAGAAGGAAACTGAGGCACAAAGGCATTAAATGAGTTATGCAAAGGACACAGAGCAAGATGATGGAAGGATTGAGATTGGGTTTGCCTAGGAGTTTTCAGATAGGTGATGCAATTGGGAGGGAAAACTTCTGTCATTTATATGTTTAGGAGATGAATTTCCTGGCATTCCAAAGATAGTCCAGAGTGTGCAGAGAAGAGAGATAAACTGCCAAGAATTCAACATTTCATCCAATCCTCACTTCCTCTGATAACAAGACACTTAGTGCAGGAAGCCAGGGGAGCTGCCCTAAGTCACAGAGTCTTGAGAGGGTTAAGAGTTGGGCGTCCAGATGCAGATCTAACCATGTACCATCTGTATAACTTTGGGAAGTGAATTAACTGGGTCTCAGTTTCCTTAACTGCAAAATGGGGACAATAATAGTTTCTACCTAATAGGGTTATTGTGAACATCATATAAGTTAATACATATGCCTCATAATTTTGAGAGCACAGTAAATGCCACTAGTATTATCATTATAATTCTTGAACAGCAGGTCCTCAATATGGGGGGAAAAAAAACTTCAGTTACAATCCTGATAGTCCGGATAATTTATGGTTGTTTCAAAATGGACTCAAGTTTGAGGGGCTTCCCCAGAATTCTGAGGGAAGGAATGTTAACTGAATGACCCTTTGGGGTGATTTCTTCCTGAAAGAGAAGAAAACAATGAAGGAAGAGTGTCTGGAATCCTGTTTTATGTCTTAATGTTTCTCAAACTTCAACCTCTAAAACATCCTTTTTCAATATTTGCCCTGTTTCTGCAGCAGCGAATAACATCTTCATGATTGCTTCCATTTCCACATAACATCTGCATTCCTATTTACATAATATTTTTATTTAAAATGAATTTGTCTTCTAAAACCATTTAAGAAGTACCTTTAAATGGAAACTTTACAGCATTCCTATAAATGAAAAATCAGTTTCAAGTGCCATAACCTAAAATGGAAATAAAATCATGATTAATAAATTATAGCTACATGCCACCACTTGGTGTGGTAGATTGAATTATTGGTTCCAATTCTTCATTATCCTGTTGTAACATAACACATTCTCTGCCTTGCCAAAGCCTCAGGGCAAGTCCAGGGGTGGAGTACAGATGTGTTATGCCCATGGGCCTTTTCCTTTTGTTGACTGTGCTTTGTATACTTTCACTGTAGCAAATCATAGCTGTGAGAATGATTATGTGCTGAGTCTCTCATGAGTTCTCCCAGGAAATCATCAAGCCTGAGGGTGATCTTGGGGACCTCAACACAGACCTCAAACCCTGGACCACAATTTTACTAGGAGGTGAGTGCTGTTGACACTTTTTTGGGGCTCCATGACTAGCCAGGAAAAGAAAAATTAATGCAGGGCTGATAATTCATACACGCATTAATTCATTCACTCATTCAACTAATATTTATTAAACAACTGCCATATGACAGATGCTGTTCCGGGTAGCTAAGGCAATTGATGTCTGTGGCCTAATGGAGCTTACATTCTAATAATGAAAACAGACAATGTCAAGTAAACCACTAAATGCAAAATGAAATATAGTTTGCGCTAAATTCTGTGAAGTACTAAATTCTGTGAAATAAATCACTGTGACAGTAACTTTGAAGTCACTTTAGATGGGGATGGTCAGGGAAGGCCTGTTAGAAAAGGTAACATTTTGAGCTCAGAACCAAATGGTGGAAAGGAGATAGTTACAGCTGAATCCACACGTGAATGCATTCAGCACCATGGGCAAAGCACATCAGAGGCAAAGGCCCTGAGGAACCAACAAGGAAGTGGTGTGGCCAGCGTGACCAGGAAAGGGAGGGAATAACAGGATGTAAGACAGAGAGGCATCCAGGGTCAGAAAAGCCACAAGAAGATATTTGAATTTTATGGCACATGTACTGGAAAGTAGTGGCAGGTACTGAGGAATGATGTGATAGACGCTGGTTTACATCTTCTAAGGATCACTCAAACTGTTGTATGGGGAATGCACTAGAAGGGGCAATAAAGTAGGAAGATCACTTAGGAGGCTCTTGCAGTAAACTAGGTGAGAAGTGACGGTGGCCTGGAGTAAGGCAGTGGCAGTGAGGATGAACAGTGGGTAGATTCAGGATTCGCTCTACAGGTGGAGCTGAGAGGACTCACTAATGGGTGGAGTATGAGGTGTGAAAAAAAGAGAAATCAAGGGAGACTAATGGCCTTTGGGCCTGAGCAACTGAGTGCCCCGAAGTGCACTAAGCGGGATCAAGGCTTTTTTGTGGAGAAAATCCAGAGTTCCCTTTTGAGGATATTACCTGTTGGATGCCTGCATTTCCGAGGTCAACTCCAGAAGAGCCTGGATTACCCAAATAGCCCCATCAGAGCTTCCAGGGGTGAGGGTTGCAAAGTGGGATCAGGAATCAGCTCAGAAGAGTGCCTACAGCTAGCACAGGTGGTGGCGAAATGACACTTCTTTCTGTCCGTGTTGCAGAACCAGTCCATTGGGGCTCTCCGTGATGCTGGACTAGTTCCAGCACAGGCTGTCCTGCGAGGCTGGGGGCTGCCCGTGGTGCTGAACCATTCTGGCATGAGCCGCCCGGGGTTCTGATGGATATTAGCAGGGCTGTTCGTGATTTTGGAATAGTCCCAGCACAGCCTATCCTGAGAGGCTGTGGTGGAGGGGGGACTGCCTTGCGAGGCTGTGGGGCTGCCCGTGGTGTTGAACCATTCTGGCATGAGCTGCCCGGAGTTCTGAAGGATACTAGCAGAGCTGTCCGTGGTTCTGAGCCATTTCCAGCAGGACTGTCCTGCGAGGCTGGAGGGGACAGTCCTGCGAGGCTGGGGGGCTGCTCGTGAGCTGAACCACTAGTATGAGCTACCCGGAGTTCTGAAGGATATTAGCAGAGTTGTCCGTGGTGCTGAACCATTTCCAGCAGGGCTGCCTTGCGAGTCTCGGGCTGTCTGCAGTGCTGAACCATTCACATCGCCAGCTGCGTTTGGAGGCTGTCCGTGGTGCTGAATCTGCCTGGCATGCGCTGTCCGCAGTTCTGAACCATTCAATCATTAGCTGTTCCATGGTGCTGACCCGCTACACAGACTAGATGGAGATTTTTTTCCCCTCCTTCAAAGAACCCATCCGCCTGGGGAAAGCCCTGCTGTTGCCTGGCAACAAAGATCTCTGGACTGTGGAGAGCGTGGGATGAAAGTAGATGAGGGCAAGAACTGCAAAGTCATTTTTAAGTGACAGCTTTGGTTCTTAGGACAGCAGGGCCTGGACACAACCTGATTGAAATAATTAACATGATTTCCCAAATAGCTCTTAAGAGGGGAAAAGTACAAAAAGGAAACT